AACACGCACTTTTCCGGGTTAAGCCTCATGTCATACTTGCGCAACTGTTGGAATACCTCCGATAAGTCCACTACATGTCGATCAAGGTCTCTGGATTTAACGACCATATCATCCACATACACCTCCATATTCCTGCCTATTTGGTGTTGAAAAACTTTGTTCATCAATCTTTGATACGTTGCCCCTGCATTTTTCAACCCAAAAGGCATTACCTGATAACAGTAATTGGCCGAGTCAGTTATGAAAGCCGTCTTCTCCATATAATAGACTTTTATTAGGATAGACTAAATTTTTAAAAAAGTTACTTATAAAAAATTCATAATAAATAATAAATAATAAATCAGATATGTATATTTAAGTATGGATTAACTAATTTTCATCCCTAACTAACAACACATGATACAGATTCAAATATAAAAAAAAATCATTTTAATTTAAAATAATTTTATTCATATAATATTATTTTAATGATAGTTTATAAATTTGCATAACATCATTAATAAAATATGTTTAAAATTGAAATGATGTTTTTATTTAATTAGTATTTATTAAAATAATGAATGAAATTAATTTTTTTCATTAATTAGATAACCAATTAAAAAATAAGAAAATATTTACTTATTAATTTAAAATTCCATATAACACATAGACTAAAATGTCAAACAATTCTGAAAAATAAACATATTTTAACATTTTGAAAATAATAAACATTATAAAACACATTATTTTAATATAATTTTAAACATTAAAACACCCTTTTTAAAAATGAAATTAATCTAAGTTTTTTTATAATCATTTTTATTTAATATTTAATAAAATTTATTCATATTCTACTTAATAATAAATAGTATATTAGAAATAAAAAAAATTATTAACATTTTTCAACTTTCTTTATAATAAAAGCATATATTTGTAATTTAGTGATATAACTTAGAGAGAGTCGTATTTTTAGTTTTTTACTGGAAGAAAAATAATTTCCAGGTATTAGTCCTAAACAATCAAAATTATTACAGTACTAGAAGGGTAATGTACAATGTAAAACAAATAAATAAATAAATAAGGGGAAGAAATGGAGTGTAAAAACTAAAAACCCTACTCTTACATTTGTATTGTTGCAATGAAAAGGAAAACTCCTATATAAGCCAAAGCTACCTCTGAGGTTGTAACCCTAGTCGCTCTGAGCCACCTCTTGGCTCTACAACACTTCTCCTTTTTCTATCTCATTCTTTAAACCCTTTTCTTCATCACTCATTCGCCTCATCTCCAACTTCTTCACAGTAAGTCGTACTTCAGAATTCATCAAATTTCTAACTTTTTACATGGGTCTTCTTTGTTTTTCTTCGTTTTTTTGTTCTCTTTCAGGACACCCAATTGGATAAAGATTTGATTTTTTGTTATTGTTTTCTTCAATTATCGACCCATTTTATTTAGGGTTTCAGAAGTCACAGATTTTCAGGAGTTGCCACCATGTCGGACGATGAAAGGGAGGAGAAGGAGTTGGATCTCTCTTCTCATGAAGTTGTCACCAAATACAAGACTGCGGCTGAGATCGCTAACAATGTGTTTCTCACCCTCTTAATGTCTTTATTTTCTCAAGAATTTTTTTTTTTAATTTCGTATCTTGGATGGATTTTTTTTCTGGAATCTTGATGAAGTACACCTTTTTTTTATTTTCATTTTTGGTTTTATTGATGATTTCATTTTTTTTCACCTTTTATTGTTTGTCTGTTTATGATTTTGCAGAGGCCTTGAAGTTAGTTATTTCAGAATGTAAACCTAAGGCCAAAGCTGTGGACATTTGTGAGAAAGGGGATTCATATATTAGAGAGTAAGGTTTTATTATTTATATATGAAGGAGCATTATTTGTGAATTGTGATACTTTTTTAACATACATGTGAATACATGCATACGGAATTGCTGTTTTGTTTATTAATTTATTTTTAATATTTTTGGATTATAGCTTCTAGAGTTTGTTTTATGTGTGTGTACAGACAAACTGGAAATGTGTACAAGAACGTGAAGAGGAAGATTGAGAGAGGTGTTGCTTTCCCAACTTGCTTATCTGTAAACAATGTACTAAGAATTTCAGAGCTCATTTGTTTCAGACTTTGTGAAGAATGAAAAATAATAGATGGTCAGGTTTAGAAGTAAAATCAATCTGGACCATTATGTATAGTTTGCTGTGTAGTTTGTATGGTCAAAGAAGAACTCCTTCCTTACCTTTCACTCTCACTAAAGACACACATATATACATAATACATTGTTAATTTGCTGCACTTGATGCCTTAATATTTTCTCTTATCATTCATATTTCATGTTTGATATGGTTTAAATAAGAAGAAAATTTACATTCAATACTAAAGATATTGTTGGTACTCTTCTTTAATTAGAGTTAAAATTTCACCTTAAGAATATACATAATTAAAGGCCTCCTTTAAATGTTGACGCATATTACTAAGATAAAATTTCAATTCTTATTAGAGAACAATATCAATGATACTTATGACTATTGTATGTATTGTATTTAAATTTTGTCTCTGTAAGCATGTTTTGATTCTAATTGGTCGAAAAATGTCTTGCTTTTCCATGCAGGGCTTTGGTAAAGAGTGCATGCCACGGGGTCAGTGCACCTTTGGAGCACGTTTGGAAGATGAAGAGATCAAGATATTGGCAGAGTTTGTCAAGTTACAGGCTGATCAAGGGTGGCCAAGTATAGAGACTGAAGAAAAGTGATTTAATACATGATTGGTTCAATTTATTTTAAAAGAATAATT